ACATTGCTTAGCAGAATGTATGCAAAAACCCTGCACACGAACATATTATGGTTAAGGTAGACTTACTCCAGAAATAAATATGAAACCTATTATGGTGTTGCTCTTTTTATATAGATATTGTGGGGAAACAATGTGATAATCCATATAAAGTTCATTTATTGATATATTTAAGAAATATTGTAGTAATAATAGTAACACGAAAAGTAAGAATAAAAATATTCTGAGAAAAAACATTTTTACCTCAAAATTATGTACATAGTGGGAGGCAGGGCAACATAGTGCACTTGAGGTGCCCAAGGTACTCCCCTCACACAGAAAAGAACCAGAATAACTAACAGATAGCTAAATATTGTTGATAGCATCAGTAGTGCAGACCAGGGGAGTACAGCAGGAGACTGGTGAGATCCCTGTGGAGAACAAAAACCCAGGATGGTGGCATAGAGAGGTGAGAGATGCACGTGGCCTCAGCTGCCACATTTCTGACACCAGGATCAACACAGGAAAAATTTTCCCTTGTGGTGAAATGGTAGGCAGAGGACCTACACCAACCCCCATCCTCACCAGAGGCCCACTGATCCTTTGGCAGGACAAGCCCAGAGCCAAGTGTGAGGAGGGCCCTAGAAAACACACATTTCTTTGCTCTAGAACACAAGCACAAACTGTGCACTCCCCACCCCCAACCCTTGTGACCCAAACCAAGGCAGGATGGCACCATCTTGAAACAGGAGCCAGTAGCCACAGCACTTCCCCAGACTTAAGTCTCTTCCCTATTCCCAATGCACTTATGGAAGATATTATAATGCCCTGATCTGGTGGCTTAAAGCCTGGGCTTACAGTGGCTATGACTCTAGTTCTGCAGTCTGGGGAGCCAACCCTAGTCTGCTGAACTGATGCACCCCCACATCCCCAGCCAGAAATCAGACAGGGACAGTGAGACCCTCCTCAGGCAGACCACCTCCAATTCTCCCCCTACTCCCAGCCTGACTGAGTTGGGTGCACCTGAGCCCCCAAACTG